GGTGTAGGTGGGTGGGAGGGGGGTCGCAGTGGGGTTGGAGGGCGCTGAGCCCATCCCCGTGGTATCTCTCTCCCCTGCGCCTGGGGTTAGGGGTGCTGGGGGGTTCGCTCCTCGCTGTGCCGGGGGTTCTCCTCAAAACTCTCCCTGTGGTTCCCGGGACGCTCCGTAGCTTGTGTGTCGGCCGCGGCCACAAGTGTTTTTATTGATGTCATCATCGTCAAGCCTTCCTTAATGATGATACCTCCCCCTCCCGGGACGGGGTGGCGTGTGGCCGTGGCCCAGGGCTGCGGGCTGGCGGGGGGGCCCCTGCCAGGCACACCTTTGGGCACAACCCGGGGGAGATCCCACCTCATGCTCCCGAAGTCGGAGGAGCGTGATCTCCAGCGGGTTTGCTGTTTGATTGCTTGTCGGTTGTTTGCATCCTGGTAGAGTCCTCAGAATGAAATCACTGCCTGTCCTCAGACCGCCCAAGGTGGGGTCAGAAAGCTGGTGTGGATGAGGGGAGTTAATCACGGCAGGGTGTGGAGGGTGGGCTTGACCATCTGGAAGGGGAGGAATAAAGACAGTTGTCCTTTGGGAAGATTAGGGTTTAGTCACCAGAGGTGGTAGCTAGTGGTCGTGACGGCATTCCTCCAGGCAAGCCGTGGTTTTTCCCTGAAGGGTACCCACATCGTCAAACACAAGGCAGCAGCTGAGTTTGGAGGTGGTGGTGCGACCATCTGGGGCTTGCATTGTGCACGGGATCAAACCAAAAATCTGGTCCAGTCACTTCTGTACAGGACCTGATCAGCAGATGGCTGTGGTGCTGCTGGTCCTGCCATGCACCACCAGTGGCTGCCATCCCCAGCCTCAGGGCACTGTGGAGGGAGGTGGGAAGAAGAAGATGAGGATGAGCTGTGAGTCCGCGTTTGCAGGACAGCAGCATGACTTGATCTTGCTGTTCCTGCTCTCCAGCTGTCTGCTGGCTTTCCCCAAGCCCAGCAGAACACCCCTTGTGAAGTGTCCTGGTCCTCCAGAGACTGGGGTGTTGGTGGCAGCCTGTGCCGGGCTGAGAACATGCTGTCCCTGGGTTTTGGTGGGGCAATGCTTGAGGGTCTGTGGTACAACCTGGCAAAGCCAATGGTGGTGCTTGCTGCCTCCGCAGGGACTTCCTCAATTTGGGCCAGCACTGGGCTGTCCTGACTCGGCAGTGACCTGGTGCAAGGGACTAGCATGGCAGAAAAGCAGCTTTTTTTCTGTTAGCTGTGGGACTGTGCCCACATTAGCCCAAGTGAGAGAACGTGGTGGCAGGAAAGGGTGGCAGCAGGCAAACCCTTGGACACATCCTGGGAGTACTGCTGGTGCACAGGAGCTTGTACCAGGCTGAGACGTGGCTGGCTGGTGGTGCTTACAAGTCCCTGGTGCTCACTGGGGGGCTGCGTGTCTGCTCTGGGGGGGCATGGGTGGCTTTGGGGATCAAAGGAATTAAGGAAATGAGGAAAAGCAGTGCTTATCATTAGGTTTCTAGTCTGTGTTACAGGACCCACATAAGTGCTGCTGTACGCTGGAGTGTTGCATCCTCACAGCTCCTGTCAGCTTCAGAGCTGGGGAAGGACTATCCAATCTTTTGCAGCTCCTAAATAGCAGTGTTATTTTAAGCATCTGCAGCCCCTGTCAACATAGACTACAGTGATACATAGACTAGAGCGGAGCAGACCTGGGTGAGCAGTGATCTGAGGTCTGAGGAAGCAAGAAACACAGCAAAAAGGGGTCTGCAGGAAGCAGAAGCTTGAAGCTTGGCATGTTAAATGGCAGAGCCAGAGGATGGATGAGTTGGTCTGCCTGAGAGCTGAACTTTTTTCCAAGAATAAGAGTACCACATGTGGCATATAGAGATTGTTTGCTTATGCACGACAAAAAACATCTGCACCTTTTTTTTTTTTCCCCTAAATAAATCCATGGGAGTTTTTCCACTTGACTTTGCACTAGGTCCACCAAATATTTGCTTTTTAAAATAAAGAGACAAAGGGAGCAAGAGAAGGCTTAAACCACTTCTTTCCTGCTTACGCACTGGCCTTGTGTGTATGGATAACCTCAGAGGGACCTATTCTTCACCAGGAGGAGAGCCCCAGGTTACACACCAGACACGTGCCAGGGGTGGCTTGGCATTTCCCCCAGTCAACATGGTCCTGTTCTTATCTAACTGGGGTGGCTGTACTCAGTGAGACCACTTGAAAGGCACAGCAAAAGCAGGCTGGACAAGTGATGCTACATGCATAAGCAGATACTATCAGTTATGAGCTGTGTGGACATAAAACTTAAGAATGCAATTCCTAAAGTTGCCTTTCAGATGACCCTATGCAGCTACCCAAAAAAAAAAATAAAATCTATTGCACCATATTTAAGGAAACCACAGTTTCTTCATATAAGCAGCACGGATTACTTGTAAGTCCAGAAAAATCAGCCACCTCCCAAAAGCAACCCAAAGAAGACTTTGTGGAGAAGCAATCTCAGGAATGAACGTGCCAAGATGCTGCAAAAGGGACCAGGAACCAGTGAGGAAGTTTGGCAGAAAACAAAACCTGCATGAGCTGTAGCAGACATGGAGGAATCATTCACAGTGACAGCTTTTTAAAAAAGGATTAAAAAAGGTGTAATATTAATATAGGTAAACACTATGCCATGATCAAAAAGAAAGAGTCCTACCATATAGCAGTGAAAAAATAGCTAAAGCCTTGAAAACAGTGAAAAGGAAGGCTGGCTTTCATTCTCAAAAACACCACCTGAACTACAGGAACATCCTAGAAAAAAAGAAAAGGTACAGAGAGCTCATCTGCATGTTCTGCATCATCTAGGAGGATGTAAAATGAAAAATGAACAGGATAATTCTAGGAGGCCATGATTGATGATGACCGTGACTTCTCAGCTAGGTTTTACCTGCTGGCACTCCTGCATGACCATTGTAAATTTTGCACAAGATCCCGAAGAGGCTTGTATCCAAGAAGGAACAGTTCCTGAGTAGTTTTCACGAAGGTCTGACCAAACTGAAGTACTTGTGATCATGGGCTCAGTAAGGTTTAGAAAAGCAGACATCAAGAGATCTTCTCAAAATGGGGAATAAGAAGATGGAAGTTTCTCTCTGACCCCAGAAACCAGTATGATCTGAAAATCCAATGTCCTGACATAGCTGTCACAACAATACCTCTAAGGAAAGCCTTGACAGATGAATTGGTGCTTCAAGGTAAGTGTTCTCCAGGGGCCTGAGGGTCACAGACTCAGCCCCTGTCCTGGTGCTGCCACCAGTCCCACTGCCATGTTCCCAGGGCTGCAAAGGGTCAGTGAACAGACGTTGTTTTTTGTGCTTAAGGTAGGTTACTCCTCATGATGTTGCAACTGCCAATGTGGATGGTAATTTCTCCATACCAACCAAGCTGCACGTATTTGTCTTGGCTCTATTTTTCCTTTCAGCTGGTCAATTTACAAGCCCGAAGCTGGAACCCTCCCTTGGCATTGTGCTGGGAGACAATGTTATCAAAAGTGGTGCATGTTGTGGCCAAGGAGCTCTTGACATTTTGCTGCAATTTTGCTATTTGAGAGAAGGGTTGACATTTTCTAGCATGTGTAAATCCATTCTGCACAGGTGCAAAGGCATTAATTCAATCACAGTATATGCGGTGGTTTATTCTTTTTTTTTTTCTTTTTCCCTCTCAGAACACCCTCTGAAGTTGTAGAGCAGGCACTAATGGAAGCCCCTTTGCAAACCTCCATTCACCAGTGCCATGAAAATGGTCAATGGATGTCACAATTACCAGAGAAGCTCTGGGATGTTCCCCTCTATAACTTAGCCCTTCCAGGTAAAGATTAACTTTTGTTCTCCGCTGTTTGGTTAGTGTGTCATTTAAGCATTGGAACATCCTGTTTGTCCCATTTCAGGATGGCAACGTTTATTATTTGGGTCAGTGTGTGGAAAGCGTGTGGGAGAAGGGCTTGGGGGAGGGTTTGTGTGACCTGTGTGTGCATGTAAATACTTTTAGTCTGTAATGTTTGGGGTTTCTTGAAGGGGAGGGGGGAAAAAAGGATTTTTTTTTTTTGAGGGAAGGAAAGAAAGAGGGACTCATTTGCAGTCACTGTGCATCCTCTTGTTGGATCAGTGTTAATAATCTAAGCATTTGCAGTGGTGAGAATTTCCTAATTCTTTCTTGCCGCTTCCTGTGTAATAAGATGTTTCCAAAAGGAGAGAAATAGCACTTTACCTTATTATTTTTTCCCTTGTACTGTTTAAAAGAGGTTGTGAAGGTATATAAAAAGGAGGATGGAGGCTTGGAGTTAACATGTTTTTATTAATGTAGATTGTGACTTTTCTGCATTACCCTGCTTACAAAAACTGGATTTATCCTATTATGGGTAAATACAGCTGTGCTATAGGTGGTGTCCTCATTGGTATTGCATTCAGACCTCTGTCTTTGGCCATATTATTGCTTCTCTCTGCTGCTTTGAATAGATGACTTAATTTTTTTTTTTTTTTTAATTCTTTCCTCATTCTGTCCAAAGAGGTTATGGGAGAACCTGTTTTCACTGGCAAATGGGGAGGCACTGGAGGACTGTCAGCTCTTGGGTGATTCCCTTTGCCTCCACAGTGAAAATAGTACCAAAGAAAAGTCTAGCCCATATTTTCTGTCACACCTGTATCTGTCCAAAGAGGTTATGGGAGAACCTGTTTTCACTGGCAAATGGGGAGGCACTGGAGGACTGTCAGCTCTTGGGTGATTCCCTTTGCCTCCACAGTGAAAATAGTACCAAAGAAAAGTCTAGCCCATATTTTCTGTCACACCTGTAGATGCGACAGATAGTTTGGGTGGAAAGCAGCACAACATGCAGATGTAAGTTTTGTGTAGGCTACAGGATTGTAGGTTAACTTTAGCAAAGATATATATTTAGAGACAGCAGGAAAAATCAGATCTTGTCTTTAGTGGGTGAAGCCCTGGTAGGACCCAAAAACTGTGGTGGCTATTTTTTTTTTCTGCCCTTCATGAACTAATGGAGTGTGGAGTTTTGATTAAAACTGAAACCCAGAAACTTATTTAATGGTGACTTCTTGGATATGTAATTTAAATTGATGTTAACTTCAGAACAAGTGCACATCTGTTTTGGATAAAGCCTATGTAAGTGGATCCCAGGACAGATACTATAAAAAATTTCTAGATTTTTTTATTAAACTATCAAGAGAAGAAAATAATTACCTGTCTTGTGACAGAAGAAAGAAGGCAATATTCTCCTCTTCTCTCCCTCCCCCTGCCTTTTTTTTTTTCCCAATCTTTTTTGTTCCTCTTGCAAAAATCCTTGAAAAAGTCAGTGGCATTCTCAGTGGTGGTTTTGGGTGGAAAAGGAACTATGTTGTTTCTAAAACACTTTCATGGTGGTGGTTCTGGGACGTTGTAAAAGCTGAGAACCTACTGCTGTGTGCCTTTGACTTTCTGGCTTTTCCAATAATGGTGATCTTGTTATTCTTGTGAATGTTTGTTGTTCTTGTGACTATGCCTGCATGGAGAACAGGCAGGAAGAAAAGAATGGTTCAAGCAAACATTGGAGGACTTTTACAGAGCATTGCAGGCTATTAGCTTGGAAGATTTTGGTGGCTGTCCAGCTGACCTACAAAACTGGTCTAGCCTGGGTCAGAGCAAAAAGCAGATGAAGATCAAACAGGTCAAGACAGTTCTGGCAGATTTTCAGAGGGAGCAATGACTCGGGGAAGCCCAGTTTGGAAGTGGAAGCTTATCTCAGACAGAGAAGGCAACAAGGCATGCAGGAAACGTGAGAGAGCGCATTCTGAAGGCATGATGAGGAAACAGAGGCAAGTGTCAGTAATTAGTGTTGTGTTTGCACCAGGTTGAGCACAGTGCTGCCGGGAGATGTTGCTTCAAGCTCTGAAGCTACATGGTTTTGTGATAGCTCACTATCTTAGCATCGTATTTGTTGTGTCATGGATATACCCATCTTCCTTTCATTACTGTAACTCACTGACATCACAAGAAGACTCCTAAATAAGAGGTTACTATCTATTTGCTGATTGGCATCAGTAGATGCAACACCCATCGATGGAATCCTGTTCACTTCTCTCAGACTTGGATTTGGTCCATGGGTATTTAATGGTTTGACTCTTACACCTTGTAAGACAAACTTCTTTGATTGCATGCCCTCATTATAGATCTTTCAGTGAGCTTGGTTTGGGTGTTTAAAGCAGGAAAATAGACAAAAATCAGATTTTAAAAGGTGATAAAATGGAGTGCAAAATCAAACTATTATTGACAGCTTCAAAGAATTTTCTTTATTTCAAGTACAATCTTGTCCTTTCCCTTGGCTACGAGAAATATTGCCATTGGCAACAGTACGACTGACCGACCATTCAAGAAAGCAGTTCCTGGCACCAGGTAGCAATTCGTTTGACAGAAGACTTAAGAAACAAAATGATATCCAAATTCCTTGCAGGTACTCTGTAAAGATCCCAGCAAGTCAATTCACCAAGTTGTTAGCTTATCTTATTGATGCTTTATACAATTAGAATAAATAATGGAAGAGAAAAAGCTGGCAAAATCGCTGGTTGCCTGTCCCAAAGAAATTGTGAGTTGCAACAAGAGTTTCATCTAAACGTGATGCAAGAGATGTGTCCAATTTATTAAGACTTCAAAGAAGTAAAATATTTGGGCAGGCTGTACTTGGCTCTGATGCTTTGGCTGCCCCTATGTAATTCTCTGTGCTGGAAAGAATCAGGTAATTTTTGAAGTCCATAAAAGGTGTATCTTGTCCATCTATCCCATGTAAACTTAGTCTTGGATTTACCTCTGAAACATTCAAGCACTCACCTTTTATATTGCTGTCTAGGGGATGTGGGTGTTTACTTCAGGAGGGCATTTTTACCAGATATTTGAGGTACAAATGCTTAAAGTGCCAAGTTAGAAGTTGGTTCAGTCAAAGGTGTAAGAAGATGAACTTCTGCTTCCAGTCATATTTTCCTGTGCAGAGATGATGGGATTGTGGAATATGAAATTCAGCATTTGGACAACTCTGAAAACAGGACAAATTCTAGATAAATTCAGCCTTCAGCTCTCTATGCCCTGAAAAAAGTGGGTTTTCTCATCAAGATAATTATTTCAATGCAAGATGCAAATTGAAACTGGCCATTTTATTGTGGTTTGAGGCAAACATGATGCGTAGTTTAGATGGGGACTGCTTTATTGAAAAGTCCTGACGCCTTCCTTTCATGAGAATTTCACACTGAAGTTATTGATGTCACGTGAGCAGCTTCTGTAGAAGATCCACCCTTTTGCCACAACTACTTAGGATGTCAGGCACTATAGGTGTGTGATTTGGAAACGGGGTGGCATGTCAGGTGTGCTCACGCAGTGTAACCATGTGTTGTGGTGCTGGAGTAGTTAAGAAACGACAATTTTCTGTAACACTTATTTTTTTTTTTCTCCAGGGAGTCACGACACTATGACCTACTGCTTGGATAAAACCTCTACTGTTAGTGGCAATGAATCCAAGCTGGTGAAGTTCTTGAACAAATGTATGCCCTGCATTGTGCATCCCATTATCATGAAGTGGTCCACGACACAGGTAACAGTTGTCTAGTGGTTCCCCTCATCCCTGGGCAAAGCTGAAGCGTGTGCTGCAGTGCTGAGAGTGGTCACACTCTCCTGTGGGCAACAAAAGCATAGCCCACCGCCCAGAAATCCATGCTCTCAGGAGATACCATGCTTGGATGTGGTGGTTTAACCCCAACCAGCAACTAAGCGCTACACAGCCGCTTGCTCGCTCCCTCACAGTGGGGTAGGGGGGGAATCGGAAGGTTAAAAGTGAGAAAACTCATGGGTTGAGATAAAGACAGTTGCATAAGTAAAGCACAAGCCGTGTATGTAAGAAAAGCAAAATAAGGGATTAATTCCATGCTTTCCATCAGGCTGTCATCTCCAGGAAAGCAAGGGCTCCGTCACTCGTAACTTACTTGGGAAGGTGAACACCATCACTCCAAATGTTCCCCCCATCCTTCTTCTTCCCCCAGCTTTTTATTGCTGACCATAACATCACATGGTATCGGGTATCCCTTTGATCAGTTAGGTTCAGCTGGCCCAGCGGTGTCCCCTCCCAACTCCTTGTGCACCCCCAGCCTGCTCACTGGTGGGGCGGTGTGAGGAGCACAAAAGGTGTTGACTCTGTGAAAGCCCTGCTCAGCAATACTAAAACATCCCTGTATTATCAACACTGTTTCCAGCAAAAATCCAAAATATTGCCCCATGGTAGCTACTTTGAAGAAAAATAACTCTTTCCTATGCAAAACCAGCACACTGGGGTACGAGGAGGGTGCCATACAGAAGACATCTCCTTTTGTGAGGAAAAATCACGTAGGTGAGGCAGGGCTGATGCACAGACAAGGATGTTGCTTAAAGCTGACCACTTGGTACCAGAAACTCATCTTCTTTTTCATGTGTTTATTCTTGTAAATAACATTTGGTATTACTGGAATCTTTAAAAGAGACATTTTTCTTGCGCTTTGTTCAGAAAGGAATGCTTGACATTTTTAGTATCGCTGTTTTGCGAGATGTCAGGTTTTTTCCCCATCTGTATTGTTTCAGCATTTCACCCAGCAGCAGAGAAAAAAACCTTGTTGAAGGGAATTTATTTTCCACAAATGTTAAGAGAATGAAGGTGTGATCCCTCACATAAGGTTTAATTTTTTAAAATGTCTAAATATTAAGCTAGTAGTTATCTCTTTGTTCCTCACAAATGTATGTTAAAGACAAATTTTGGGATCATGATTTAAGCTAGACCTTTTGAAGATTTTTCTAAAGAACAGGCTTTCCTGGCATCAAAGAGGTACCAAAAAGTCGTTTCACTTTTTTGTTCTTTTTGAAGGAGTAGTTCGTTATTAGGGAATTAAAACTGAATAATTGATAAATAGTGCTAATTATGCCTAGGCTTCTTTTGTTGGGTTTGAGCACTTGGAGGCTTAGACACTACCAGATATTGAAGACATAAGGGGGGCAGCGAGTTGATGTGGAAAGGCACTCGCTTGGCACAGGGCCTTGTCTTGAGCTGCTTTGAGACTTCAGCCAATGTCTGATACCTCCTGACTAGTGGGTTGCTGGCCTGTGAGGTGACCTCATTGGTGACAAACAAGTTCCTTGCGTCATTATGGTAATTTTCGTGTCCAAACCCAGCTTGCTGAGCGGGAAGTGGCCTGGCTCTGAGGGGAAAGAGCTGCGGCTACAGTCCTGCCCCTCCTTAGCCCTGTGGGGCTGGAGTTACCTTTGCCAGGAGGTGACTCCAAGGAGCCCTACCAGTGGTAGAACCCGCAGGTTCCTGGATGGCCCAGTGCCTAGGAGATGGCGTCTGGCTCTTATGGATGTCAGTCTGGAGGCCCAAACCTTTCCTGCACAGTGGCTGATGTCAGGTGTGTAGCTTCCACTCGTGCCCCGGAGGTGTGGTGTGAGATTGCAGCACTGAGCAGCATCGCCCCCAAGGCTTCCTCTTACATTTTGCCCTTGGAGGCAACATTCATGCTGTCTAATTCAGTATCCAAATCCTCGTGACTAATTAGGGAGTCTAACTTGTGTAGTTTTCCCATGCAGTCAATGGAAGAAACTAATTCACCCAAAGGGCAGTCCAGAGCAACTATTTCATCTGGTGCTCTCTCTGGCCACTAAGGTTATGTATGACTTAGAGCCATCTCCAGTGTGCTCCAAAGTGAAGGTGGGACTTCACTTGGGGAGGGTAAATTCCTGTCCTAAGAACAGAAATGTAGATGGTTGAAACCAGGCAGGGTGAGCACCCTGCAATGTGTAGAAGCTCTCTCTCAGCACTGAAGTGAGGAGTGTGGTTATTCAGGCACAACGCCTTGTATTGATTTAGCTGTTTTGTTAAATCCTTTCTGATTTAAGTCAGTACAGTGTATTCTGTCTGTGAACCAAAAGTTGCAGGTTGAACTGGGACAAACTAGTATTCAAATGTATTTAATTAAAATTATTCTGTTTCCTTATGCAAAGAGACCTTTGATACAGATAGGAGACATACCATTCAGGACTTTTTGGCCCAGAAACTCAGCTTTATCACCTGTTCCATTCAACCCTCAAATCTAATAGTAGAAGTCCAAGGGAAGTGGAAACCGAGGAGGACCTGTTTTGTAGGACTTCTACAGGTTAATTCAAACTTTTGAAGAGACTTTATCCTGAAAAAGAACAATAGCCAGTACTTATTTTCTATTTTTGTTTTTCCTTCTGTAGGGGATGAGCAAGCTCCACAGAGACAACCATGATAAAGTCTTTGATCTAATAAAATAAATACAGCATTTCTAAGGTGCTGATCCTGCAATTTTTGTTCATGTGAATAGTCTTGTGAAGCTCAATCATGTATTTACGCACAGTAATAGATCTTTAACTTTCAGAGTGTAACAAGGACAGAGGTCTGAAATTAATCTAATCTGTAGCTGCAGTATATGCCGCAGGGAGATCGTGATCCCTCTTGTCAGAGCATAAAATACTTCACAGTTGTGACTTGCTGCCATATAGTGCCATTTTAAAGATGAAAGCCGTGTGAAAGTGTCATAGGGCTAACTTCCTACACCCTTTTCAGCTTTCTCAACTGAAGAGACAAATTTCTTCCAAGCTCTCAGGACCTTTGTCTTCTGTTTCACCTTTCAGGTGCTGACTGTGACGGAGCAACTAGAGGCTGGAGTTAGATATCTGGATTTTAGGATTGCCCACAAAGCTAATGATCCATCTATGAATTTGTACTTTGTGCATATGGTTTACACAACTGTTACTGTACAGGTATTGGTCCTTACCTTTGGAATAGCAATAAAAACAGTGCTGTTTCTTTTATTTAAAAGCCATCATAATCTGAAAACGCTGGCCCAAGTAGGTTAATTGTTTTCCTAACGTGGGGACTTCAAACTAGAGAAAATCATCAGGACTGGAAGTTAGTTTCAGCAGCTACAAGTGAGACTGGAGCATCAGTCAGTCCCTCATCTGCGATTGCAAGTCTGCCCTACCCTTAGTGCTCTGTTGGACTTTTGTTCTTTTCTCTGCATAGCATAGATGGCTTTCTAAGTTGCTGTGACTCTCTCTTGTAGGATATTCTCTGGGAAGTGTTAAGGTGGTTGGAAACTCATCCTCAGGAAGTCGTTATCTTAGCCTGCAGGAATTTTGACGGATTAACCAGGAGACTTCATTGTCATCTTATTTCCTGTATAAAAGAGATTTTCCAGTGTAAACTGTGTCCCAGAAACGTAAGTATGAGTTCCTTTTTTCCTCCTTTACGAGTGATATATTACAGCAAGATCTTTGATTCCAAATGTTTAGATATATTCTATTTGCACTGTATTTTTAGTGTAGGAAAAGTAACATTTGCTGCATCAGAGATAGATCTTTACCTAATAAAAGTGAACAGATAAAGCAAACCTACATCCCACAGTGTAGAGGAGGGAGTTAAACTTGTCTGCCATGTCTGTTGAATTGTGGGACAATAGTAGGGACACAACTGCCATCCCGTCACCTGTCTGAGTTGTTTTTTCTTTAAAAAAAAAAAAGGTGAAAAAATAGGGTGTGTGTTATAAATACAGTTCATACTATAGTTATAGAATGTAAAGAATCCATTTTCTGCCTTTTCACACCAGTAATTATACATGAGTTTTTATGCTATTTATAATAGTTTAGGTTGGAAGTGACCTCTGGAAGTCATCTGGTCCAACCCCACCATGCATGAAGCAGGACCAGCTTCAAAGTTATGTTGGGCTCTGTCACATCCACCCTTGAATATATCCAAGGCTGGAGATTCCACCACCTTTCTAGGCAGCTTGGTCCAGCATTTTACCACTCTTACGGCTTGGTGTCAACTAGGACCTGCAGGTCCTTTTCTGCAAAGTGGCTTTCTACCCTCTTGCCCCAAGTCTGTCCTGGTGCATAGGGATAATCTATCCAGGTGCAGGACTTTGCCTTTGTTAAGTTTGCTGAGCTGCTTGAGGTTTCTGTCAGCCTGTTGAGGTCCTTCTAAATAGCATCTCTGCCCTCAATGCATTTCTGGTGGCATTGACTTTCTTTCATGGATGTGAGGTGGAGCTGACCGTCCAACCAGCCTAATATGCTTTCAGTCACCCAGACCTCCAGAAAAGCCTTAATTTAAATAATCAGAAATTATTTGATTGCTAAACTTTAGAAGTTGAGATTTTTAGCTTCCTCTTTTTTTTTTTTTTTTTACAAGGTGTGGGAGCTTTTAGCAGTTAAACAATTAACATTTCAAAGATGCACAGGAACAGAGGGTTTTCTCTGGAGATGTGAGGGGTACAGGATAATGATGACCCTGTTTGCGATTCGAATTCAGCCTTTGAAGCTGGTGTATTGGATGAATATTACCATTTCAAAGCATTTTGTACAGCAGAGTTAAAATAGAACAATTCTCAGCAAAACTAGGGGATTCTGAATATTCAGGCCTCAGCTGAATAACTGAAGACCTGAGTGACACTGTTTTATTGTTTCCCCAAATAACTGGAGTGCATAAGTTGTGGATGAGCCAAGCAATACTGGAGAACATGGTCAATTTTGCTGTCAGGCACACGGCCAGCTGTTAAGAAGAAAAAAAAGTTAATTGCAAAAGGGGCAAGCTGCTGCTGATAGTTTGTTAAATGAAGGTGATGAATGAATGGTTTGAGATCACCTGGCTTAAGAAAGAAGAATGTTTCTGAGTTGTTTCGGGGGGGGGGAAGAGAGGCACTGGAGAAAAGAAACTGAGTACTTCCCTCAGGCAGGATGACTTTATTTCTGTGGAGTCTGTGACCAGCACAATGGATCTCACCATCTTCGCAGGTGATACCATTGCAGATTAGGTAGCTGGGGTGTTTTTCAGGATCACAAATTCAGTTTTAACATTAAATGACCAAGTGTTAGTTCACTTATTCTAAAATAATCTGCTATCTACTGTTTTTCAAGACTGCAACTCTGTCATTGTACAAAAGTAAGTGTTGAACTATTTATGAAGCAACTGCTAAGCAGAGAGGTCTGTATGTAGTACTGGCACAGGCCACAGCGTGACAACATTACATTGCATTTAAAATTTTAATTTGCCTTAAGTATTCAAGGTGTCTTCCTTTGATCTGCATTACTAGGGTTTAAAAATCCCTTGTTAGACATCTAGTTTCATTTCTGCTTTGTTTGCAAAATAAGCACCTGTGCTCATGTACACATTTCTGGTAGCTTTTTTTTTTGGCTCTTATCCCACACTTTTTTTTTTTTTTTTAAGTGATTCCAGCTTTAGAAAGGTGGCTGGAGTAAAGCAATGGCTTGTCAACCACAGATTTTTGTAGTTTGAGTAGCTTGTGTCTTAATTTTGTAGTACTTTCTAACTTAATTGGGGCTCGCGCTCTCTTTCTTGGGTGAAGTAAGAGGGAATCCCATGCTTATTCAGCCCTTGGCGCTCTTCAAAGATTTACATAAAACATTTTCAACTGCCTTTGGCTTTTAGTTTAATTAATAAGGTAATTGGAACATCAAAAAGCCACCATTTCCTTTTCACAACAACAGACACAGCTTTTAACCACAACATTCTTAAAAATCCAGTACCTATTAAATACATTGGTTTTGCAAATAAAACTAGTCAGAGGGCCTCAATTTGGTCCGATGGTAACATCTGTGGATTGGAAAATATCATTTCATATTGAAACACTTAAATTTAACAGATGTGATTCAGCCCATCTGCCTCTCTGAGAGGTTGTCTGACTCAAGACTTCCCCTCTCTCAATTCATAATGTCTGGGACCATCCCAATTTCAGAAACTTTCCACTTGGAGAAATCAGAATTAACATATCTCTTAAGAGACTCACATTTAGTCTTCCTAGGTCTTAAGCAGTTCAACTTTCTTTGATGGCTACAGCGACAAATTGGATCAAGGTGGGGCATTTGCCAAAATTACTCCTCCTTCTCTGCCTGTATTCCTACAGCTGGGTGTAAGGGCTTCCTACCTCCTTTCACCAAAAGGGCTGCATCTTCCTCTCCCACCAGATTTTCAGCAGTGGTATGTGCACAAGGGGCTGGCATGGGGGTGGTCTCTTCTAATAGAGGTGTAAGACCTTGAACCATAGTTGAATTGAGGAAAAGGAGGAATCTGCTGAACTTCCCAATCTGATGAAGTTGACCAATCTGATAGCCTTCTATGATGCCATAAGCCAGCCAACGACCTGCTGGGTTAGGTATAAGGACTTCAAAGCTTTATTTGAACTGCCTCTCTGCCAGTATTTGAACTTTGGGAACACTGCTGCGTTGCTGACTTCAGCCTGGGCGTGCTCTCTCGTAGGTGGTGCCGACGCTGCGGACCCTGTGGCAGCATGGCCATCAGGTGATAGTCTCCTACGAGGAGGACGTGGCAGTGGAGGAGCACTGTGAGCTGTGGCCCGCCATCCCATACTGGTGGGGAAACAAGACTGCCACTTGTGCCCTTATCCAGTATTTGGAGCGCATGAAGCGGATGGGCCGTCCAGGTGGGCACAGGGAGTCGCTCGGGGGGGGGGAAATGAGGGGCAGGTAGAGCAACACAAAACAAATGGGAAGGTGGGAGTTCATAGCACGGCGGGATAGAACCACTTTGTGCATGCTGTGGGCACAAGATGTCCCCGTGTCGCTGAGTGCAACATTCATCTTTGGTACTTGCAAACAACACACTGCTGCTGACCAGGGAAATGCATGAGAAGGTTTTGGGGGAGACCTTATTGCAGCCTTCCAGTACTTAAAGGGGGCCTACAGGAAAGATGGGGACAAACTTTTTAGCAGGGCCTGTTGTGATAGGTCCAGGGGTAATGGTTTTATACTCAAAGGGGGTAGATTGAGACTAGACAGAATGAAGACATTTTTTACAATGAGGGTAGTGAAACACTGGCACAGGTTGCCCAGAGAGGTGGTAGATGCCCCATCCCTGGAAACATTCAAGGTCGGGTTGGATCGGGCTCTGAGCGATGTCATCTAGTTGAAGGTGTCCCTGATCATTGCAGGGGGGGTTGGACTAGATGATCTAGGGCCACGAAGATGATCAGAGGGATGGAGCACCTCTCCTATGAAGACAGGCTGAGGGGGCTGGGATTGTTCAGCCTGGAGAAGAGAAGGCTCCGGGGAGACCTTATAGCGGCCTTTCAATATCTGAAGGGTGCGGATAGAAGAGCTGGGGAGGGACTCTTTGCCAGGAAGGGTAATGATAGGACAAGGGGAAATGGTTTTAAATTGGAAGAAAAAAGATTCAGATTAGATCTCAGGAAGAAATTTTTTACTCTGAGGGGGGTGAGACACTGGAACAGGTTGCCCAGAGAAGCTGGGGATGCCCCATCCCTGGAAGTGTTCAAGGCCAGGCTGGATGGGGCCTTGAGCAACCTGTTCTAGTGGGAGGTGTCCCTGTCCATGGCAGGGGGGTTGGAACTCGATGATCTTTGAGGTCCCTTCCAACCCAAACTATTCAGTGATTCTATGACTATGCTATCCTTGTTGTGAAACCAAACCCCTACAAGAATGGTGCAGAAGGCTATAGCTACACCAAAACTCAGCAGGGCTCAAGCACGCTGGTGTAGCCTGAGCAGAAAGACAGTCAGTTCACAGGCTCTGACACAGGCTCTGTGATTGCACACGTCGGTGATGAAGGGGAGAGCTGCTTCAAAAGCAGAGTGCCCAGCCAAAGGAAAACGCTCCTGTAGGTGCACCCTGCGTTCCCCCACCCCTCACTGGGGAAGGCTAAGTATTTGGAAGCAAGCCCTGCAGAAACAAACATAACCTATGAAGGAGGACTAGTTAGTGGAGAACCTTTAGTCTGCAATGAGTAAGTTAGATAAATTTAGCTAAGCTGGAATGGTTCACTAAGTGAGCTTGGTTCAGGAACTATTTACTACATTGTGCAGTTGCAACAAGGGGAGACAGTCCAACGAGACAGCGCTAAGGATATGAAACAATACAGAAAGATTGTAAAGTTACTACTTTAATGACTCCCAGAAGAACGAAATGTGGAGTTAATGCAATTCTGAGCAGTTTCTGTTCTCAAAGGAATATTTAATGCCTCACTTTCTGATTTTTATTTCAGAAAAATTCTTTGTAGCAGGGATTAACCTTACAGAAAATTTAAGGTACATTCTCGTACACCCATTTGGATCACTGAAGAAAATGACACTCCAGAGTCTTCCGTGCTTGAAAATCTGGATAAAGCAGCAGTATCCAGGACCAAAGAAAGAATGTGTTAACATCATCGCTGGAGACTTCATAGGAAATGATGATTTTGTCAAAGATGTGATAGAACTTAACACAAAAATAAATACTCCATTACGCTGTCAAAGTAAAGGGGCTGGAACAAATACCATTTCATCCTCAACTTCTTAATCTGTGAAAAGCTGAAAAGGCTTTGTCTTCCATTTAATGTGCCCTGGTTTAAGCATCCTGGATCCCAGAAAGGTCCAATTATCTTAAACCAGGGATGATTTAAAGACTTAGTAAGAAAAGTGCTCTCACCATCATCAGGGTTTCAAGGCCTTTTCACAGAAAAGAGAGCAGGCAGACCTGGCTGAAGTCTCTAAAAAACTATGGTATAGGTATAATTTACTGGAGGTGCTTAGATTCTGTAGCAGCAGTTGGCAATAATGAAAGTCCCAAGAATCCTATTTTATTTTACGTATGAGCACAAAAAAGAAATACGTCAGTAGGTGCATGAATTATTTTGTGATAAGATTTTACCTTTCTTATAATTGTAAATATACTCTGTGCTACTTGCAATCCCAGACGTCAATATTTTATATCAGCACAAAAATGACTTGTCTGTTTTCATAGTTTGTGTTAAATATACAAAAGAAACAGTTTAAAAATATTTTGAGCGATCAAAGATATGGTATTGACAATCCTATCTGACATGATTTATATGTATGTACACTAATACATCATTAACATTAGAGATCTAGTAGCGGCTGCCTGTTGTTACAGGCCAAGTATGAGTTTGTGAGCCTGTTATCAACAGGTTGGTCACAAAATTCTTTATGATTTGTAAAAGGTACATGTATTTGAACACTCATTGCTCGTGCCAGTTCTGCAGTGATGAAGATACCAAAACTAGGCCCCTAGAGAGTTTTGTCTGTGGTAATGAAATCTGTTCTATTAGGTGTTGCCAAAATACACCTTACATTGAAAATAAACACGTATGAAAAAAATTCCTTATCTAAACTCAGACTGCTCTAAAAATACAGATTCTTGGCTTCTGTCACACTTATTTGGGGCTTCACAACTGGTCTTTTATTTACCTGTTTTAGTAGCTCTATAGTTATTTTTCCTCTCAACAAGTGAAGTATTTTTTGCTTATGTAAAAACCAAGGATTTTATGTTGTTTGCCACTGCATATTAATGCTATTTTTCTATTTTTTTTTTTAATGAACTGTGCAATAACAGATGATCATGAAGGTAAGAGAAATGGCAAGCATTGGGGCTAAAACAAACCCAGGCCTTGCATGAAGTTCACTATGCAGCTTCATCCATATACCTCACTTCTTAGATGCACTTTATATGCAAAAGCTGAGTTCAAATGTCTGGCAAGATGTTATTGTTTGCAGGAGTTTGAAATCAACTGCTACTTGATAGCAGGTCAAACTCAGCCTAGACTTCTCAGCACGAAAGGCTAAGATGCTACCTCCTCATGCAGTCTCATATGTAGGAGTAAACACCCAAATATTCCATGTTTTTTTTTTCACAGTGCTTTTTATCCTTGTTCTTACCTCTACGTACTTTATACATAGTCAGAATGGTTTTCTGCCTGTCTTTTGTACCCTCAAGTGGCTTGTTACTCTTGTCTAATAAATATAAATAATGGATCAGGTTTTGTTTTTTTTTTTCCCCCCTCCTGAAATAATTTAATACAAAATCCATAGTTTGCTGTAACTTAAATCTTTTTTCTTTAAGAATTGAGGCGTAGTAGGTATTGTCGATAAATTACAGTAGGCGAGAAAACCGTATGAGTAAAAGATGTTCCTGGCTAACTTTATTGCTTAAATATACAAATCTATGTTTTTTTGCTTCAATGCAGTCATGGCAGTTATTTTACTTAAATATATATTCAAACAGAATGCATGAACCTACCTGTATTATTTATATACAGCCACCAATATTTTGTTCACTAACTTTTGTTTTCCAAGGACCCTCTGAGACACCTTAACTATAATAAATATTATTTTATTCTGAAAAATGGGGTAAAAAGCTTTATTTATATAAGAAACTTTTTTGAAGGTTAATTCAGATGCCATCCAGTGATTTCCATGTGTTTGGGTTCCACACCTTACCTTACAGGCAACAACTGTTTTAATATTAAAAATTCAGTGCTGTCCCTGCACTTGCTGAGAGAATGAAGCTCATAACTCTTACTGTTTCCAAACAGAAGTTTTCTGAAACAGTCTCCATTTCTCAAAATCCATCAAAAACATCAACTGGGGAAGAAACACTCTTCAACACCCAGGCTAACAGATCATTAACTTTGCTTAATGAGATCAGTTTCTTTTCCTAGAAAAGGATGCAGTTTCATGGCGCAAAAATCTTACTGTTAGGAAAGAGGTTCTTGTATCTGCCAAAAGCAGAATTGCTGATTATCACCTTTACCTTGGCTGTACCATCTTCAGGAATGACATCTACTTCCTGAACTGTTGCTTCTTTATAGAGCCAACTGTAAAAATAAAAGCGTATTAGCATCTTAAAGGTATGATATACTGCATAAAATGTGATCTTTGTTTTAGGTCAGCATGTTCCAATTTAGGTAATTTAAGATGAAGTCACTTAACTTGTCATTTGCTACTTGCTGTTTGGAAATAGGGAATCTTTCAAATCTGTGTTCTTATCAGAAATCTGGCTCCAGGACCAGTGGCATGGTCTTTCAGGAAGTATGTTTTATTGTAGTAACACACAGAATTCTGTGAAGGACACTTTAAGAAGCAGGCACTAAGATATCTAATGGGGATATTTTTTCTCAATAGGTCAGAAAATTTTGATAATTATCCCTCTAATTCTTAACACAGATTAAAATTAGTATGACACAATTTGAAAAATTTAAGACAGTTTCCTATTTCTCCAGGTCCTTCTTACAATTTAAAATTATTTACCTTAGCTGAGGTCCTTCTAAGTTGACATGAAGTGTCAGAATCTTCTTCCCTGTTGCCGTCAAGATTTTTTTCTCTATTTCTTCTTTCAGCTCTTCTAAACCATGCCCATGTAGCGCAGAAATGGCTAAAGCATTTTCTTCAATGGGTTTATACCTGGAAGGTAACAATTGCTACAATATTTGCTCATGAAGATTAGGCTGTGAAAATATTCCAAGCTGGGGCAATTTAACTGTGTTAAACTGTGTAATTTTATAACAGCACCTTCCTACAGAGGGCGCTTCTTGTATCACTCAAGTGATTTCTTTTGTAATTAAAAGATAATTAACTCTTTTTAAGACCACAGTTACATACGTAATAGATTGAGAAACACCATTAAATGTATTCAGAACTGTGGGAACTCTTTTCTAGATTAAGAATTAAAAAGCTTCCAGAACATAAGAAATGTTTAAGTACACTTAGCATCTCCTGCTTACCTCTCTGTCAAATCCACTTTGTTGTGAACTTCTACCATTGAGTCCAATAAATGGCCGGGAAGATTAAGATTCCTCAGAACTGACAGAACAGTTGCTTTCTGGAGGATGGTTTCTGGATGAGTAATATCCCTCACATGAACTATCAGATCCTAGCAAACATCAATATACAAGATAGTTACTTAATGAAACACACCAGTTACAAGTTGCAGAAATGTTATACTATTTTTGCATTGCTGATTCATATAAAATACTTTCCTATACATTAGATGACACACTGGCAGGTTAACACTGTAAAATGAACTACTAGAACAGCATTAAACCAATACTGGTTCTTGTACAATCATGGAACAAAATCTGTAGCAGCTCAGCCTTTCACTCTGCAGGAGCAGGAATTGCCTCCAACAACCCTGAAACAAACCCTGTTAATCAAACTAGTTACAGAATTCAAAGTTCAAATAACAATGATCTAATTTTTCAAAGCCAAGGCTGTGTAACAATAAGGCTTAAAAAAATACTGGAGAAGAAAAAGAGGGAACTCTAAAAAGGTTTTAGAAGTCATAGCTCAAAATCTGTTTCAAAAATAGAAGAAAAAAACCCATGTAACTTGTAATTCTACTTTTACATTCAAAATGCTGAAGATTCTCCTTATTCTTTGCTCCTGAGATATTAGTACTGGGCTTCACTTAGAAAGCTTTATATGAAAGTTATCAGTTTCAAGTACATACACGGTCACATTTGCCATGATAAAAACCAGGCAACCAAATTCAATATTTGCATTCAAAATGTTTCGTCATCTTAGCTCAAGATACTGCTTCAAACTTCTGAAAATTACAGAGAAGTAAATTTCTTGCCTTTCATTTAACACTTCAGAGTAAGAAACAAACAGGGTAGTTGCCATCAGCTTTTGAAAGTCTGTTACTAAACGATGAGGAATCTAATCCTCAGAAGCATTCCAGCACCCAGCTACCACTGAATCCATTATGATACAGGCTTTGATGAGACAGGCTTTTTGTTTAAATGTCTCCATATACGCAGCTTTACACTTTGTTATAAAACAGGAAACTAACTTTAATGAGAAAGTGACTGGAAAAGTACATTTATGTTTATTATATGCTGCCTGCATCACATCACAACCACCCACTTTTAGTGCTATAGGAAACCTTAAAGTTAAAAAGAAGGTCATTCCAGAGGCTTTATTTCATTTTTAACCTGCAAGCAAACCAGTGTCAACTTATTCTGATGCACTGTTTAGGTTTTCATATGTTTAATAAGCAAAATCTGATTGATCTGGTTTACATATCATGGAGAAGGATTCATATACTCCAAATAAACCTTTTCTGAAATCTCTTCATATCTATATATTCTGCATAATTTCAAGCGTCAGAAAATTGGCTTATGGTAAGATATTTACCTCATTATTTTAGGAGACTACTATAGTCAGCCAGATACTTCACTAAGAACAGCATGCCAATTAACTTTACCTTTTCTGAAGGGGTGAGGATTATCTAAAAGAATACTAATTTGAGTTCTCAATTTTTGTTGTGAACTACTTACTGAGTATGCCACTTCTTCTAAGGTAGCTGAAAAGGACTCGACCAGATTATGTGGAAGATCAGTCAGAAACCCAATAGTGTCAACATAAATAACTGCCATATGCGAGGGCAGATAGCCAGCGTGGGCTGTAATATCAAGAGTGGCAAACAGCTGATCTCTGGGTTGAAGTCCTGCTTCGCCAGTCAAGGCTTTGATCAATGTAGTTTTTCCTAATTAAGGAAAAAAAGGAGAAGATTTTAATGGCTTGTTTCAAGTAAAAAATTAATTCGCAAGGCTCAGGTGAGTTTTACTGATGTAATATCTTTTCATATCTATTCACTAATTTAAATCTAGCCTATGATTAGGTATCTATATGATATTATGAAATCCAAAGACAGTCTTAACTTTTACAACTTGGAATTGAATTTAAGGCCATGTCTGGAAGGTATGCTACAAAATCACAAGATGATCAAAGACTGAACTGACCTGCAAAGTGAACTACCCACATCTCTCACCTCTAAGACTGCCTGAAGAGCACTGCCAGGACAGCACTAGGAAGCATACATTTATGTACTCCTCAGTGCTTCTGTTGTCAAATAAAACAATTTAATAGTTACTTGTTAAATCCAACAATAAACAGAAACACTAATAATATGTAGCTAATTAGGTTTATGCTTTTACTGGGCATTTCCTCATGAACATAACAGTAGAGACATTTATTTCAACCCAATGAATATTTCACAGAATTTAGTCACTACGCTGAAGTGCTCAGTATTTACCCTAGTTCAAGTACTTCAAATATGTGCACAAAATTGTAATATATATATATTTTGTTGAATCTTCAGTTTTAAAAGTATGGAAGCACCACATTTAAGAAAAATATAGACTGTAATCCAAATCTTTGAATATATGACTGATAACAAAAACAGTGCAAGGTAAGTTAGTTTTTATAAAGCTGTTGAATAAGAAAACAAAATAATCTTAAATCACTGTAACCTGAAAACAGTGTATAGTCCAAAGTCTATTTATGCCTTGTGGATGAATTCACTTGTGTAAGCTACTAAGAAAAAAAAAAAAAAAAAAAAGTTAATTCACTTGTGTAAGCTATTAAGAAAAAACAAAACAAAACAAAAAACTTTATTTAGAATCTCTTATGAACACATTTCAGAACACTATACATTTACATTGTTCTGAATGAGAACACTATAGAAAAGCTACAGTGCTTCTTAAGCATATTTAGCTTTATTCTTTATTTAGAATCTCTTATGAACACCTCTCAGAACACTATACATCTACAGTGTTCTGAATGAGAACACTACAGAAAAGCTACAGTGCTTCTTAAGCATATTTCTCAGATCAACTGCTGCCAATTCTCCTGAATTTTCCACCTATGCCTCAAGTCTTCCCAGTGATCTAAAAACCCATGTACTTTTCTCTACCCGTTCTGATCAATAAGGAAGATTCATATAAAGGGACAAAAGTAGTGCAGCCTTCAGCACTATATAAAAAAATCTTTTTGGCATAATAGGTGCTAAGCACTTCCCAAAACATCTCCAAGACTGAAAAATTAAAAAAAAAATTACAACAAGCATCATTTGCTTCCTAACTATATCCTATATCCTAATTGACATATATTCATTACACAATTTAAAAACTAATTAAAAGACGAAGCCTATTCACAGTGAAATGAGATTCTGGCTAGAGTTTCTAATTAAAAATTCAACAACGTAAGCTCTTTCATGTTGCAACGTCATGAGTTTTTGCTTACCACAGTTAGTATAGCCCATTACAGAAATAATCGGAAACTCGCGTTTTCTGCGCTGAGTTCTAAGTAAAGACCTTTTTCTTCTTAGTTTCTCCAGGGCATTCCTAATTTTAAGTTCTTTTTCTTTCAAGACACGATTCTGTGTCTCCATGAATGTTTCACCTGAAAAATACAAATGAATAATTGGCGGAATAGTCTACAAGAGAAACAGTAAAACAAGTGACCTTGTGCATTTGGAAATCAAGTGAGTTAGCACTAGGGCACATGAAGTTACAAATAAGCAACTAAAACGATGTATTCTTGCCTAAGATAGAGTCAGAGTGATAATTATTAAGACATATGCTAAGCACTCTAGAATAACTATGTACACTTATGATAAATCCCTGTTTGCAGCAAGTACTCTGTCCATGGCCACTTAGTGAACCAGTACAGACCAAAACTTTATTATCTAAATTACTTTCCAATAAATTTTTGTATGTTCACTTAGATAGATGCAGAACACAAAGAGTTTTTTCTCCCAGCCTTCTCCAAATAAAGACACAATTAAATTCGTTTCAAGGCTACGGAGAAAAAAAATATCCTCTAATTTATGAGAATGTTTAGACTTTACCTGAGCCCATGATGTATCTTGATCCACCTCTCTGCTGATCTAGCTGAGACACCTCATTTTTCAGATTTGACCTGGCAGCAGAGTTAACAGTTAATTAGAAGCAATTTTCTTTAATCAAGCTATCCTAAAATGCCTAACAAATGTGAAGCAGTAGTGATTATTCTAATACTACAAATAAAACCACTAAACGACAGAGCTCTAAATAAAGCCTGCTCATGGCAAAAAGTCTGGCGAAAAAAAATCCAGATTTTTCTGGCACCTCAACTGTGGGTTGAAAAGTCATGAAACTCTCTTAGCAAATTACAATGGCTACTCTGAAATTTCAGAGAGCCAAAGATGCCTCTGATACATCCATGCAACTCACACAAACTTCCAAATACAAATATTTCAAGGCCATGTAGTATAGAACTGTGGAAAATGCAGATACCTTTAATAAAGATACCTTTTTTGCATTAGAAAGAATCCGGGACCTTTTCATGAGAAATACATTATATATTGAACACTTTCTGGTTTTGCCTGTCAGCACAGCAGAAGCTTAAAACAATGACATTAAAATGAGTATTTCTATGAGCTAATCAATCATTGAGCATACTATGCAAGCACTGCAACAGTGGCATTTTTATATACAATACAGTACTACCATTTTTGTTACTGTAAAGAAATACTCATTAAGATATATAAATATCAGTATGTGATTTGCACAGCTTGAGGTCTAAAATATATATCAGTATGTGATTTGCACAGCTTGAGGTACCTGAGAAGTGGAATTTCAGCCAACGCTATTTGAAGTTTTGCTTCTTTGGTCCGGGCATTACAACGAAAAATGTGGAGCACAACCGTGTATCTGTCAAAGACTTTCACACCCCAGGCATCTTCTAGTTCTTTCTTTAGCCATGTAAGACAAAATAACCTGTATGTTTTCTGTCTCCTTCAGTATCAGTAGATCAATTCCTACACAGCACTAGAGTTACAGTTAGCTGATGGACACCTGAACTCGGAATCTCAGGGTTCCATTTCAATGTATGGGTAATGGTTATGAGCATGCAAAGGTAAAATGTGGTTGACCATGAAGAAGGATGAAAAAGACTGTTTATAAGGTAGAACTTTATGTCCAGGGCCATCAAGTTTAGTGAGAATCCTTCCCTTGACTTTAATGGATTCTGAAAACCTTAGAATCAAGAATAACCGTGGTTAAGCCCTTGCAAAAAATAATTATGAAATGCTAGGAAAGGACAGGGAAAACATAGGAAAAGAAAAAAGATTATTGAAAATGAAAAAAAAAAATTAGAAAGAGAGAAAAGCAGGAAAATTATTTCATAACAAGCTTTTCATTAAATACTTAAAAAAACCCCAACCAACCAACAAAAAACCCCAATCTTGCTCTAATTCAGCAAAAGACCCTTAAAGTATGCAGTAGTTCCCCGCTGTTGTCTCTAAAATCCAGAATGTTTGTGTTTTATACAGGTTCTCAAAGACTTTCTTGAATCAACCCTGTTAAATTGCTCTGAAGATCTAGATTTGCAAAAAGAAACTTTTTTTTTTTTAAGCAAATCTAGTACTGAAAGTACTCACACTAAATTAGGGAATAAAACCTACAAAACTGAAATGAAGTATTTTCAACTTCCATTTCATCAATGAATTGAAGCCCTTGAGAAAACCATCTGTTAGAGATATTTACCATCTCTGTCCATTTCATAATCAGAGAAAGCATTCAAAACTACCAGCAAAGCATTAATGTCTGCTTGCAGAGTTTGTATCTGCTTTACACCCTACATGATGCTGTGTGCAAAAAACCAAAAAGAGTATTTATTTCTGTTTGCCTAAGCATTTCAAAGAGCATCTATAGTTCATCCACCAGTTGTTTTACTCCCTGTGTTAAAAAAAAAACAACACAAAAGTGAAGCCTGCTCTTCCCCTCAATGCAATCTATGCATTTAAGATATGGTTTCTTTTTAAGGGTTAGGAATCAAACTTTAAATATTTGACACATTCAAATATAAGCTTGCTCTGAACTTACACCTCATTCAAAATGCAATACAATATCCACAGAACTATAGGAAAATAAAGACACTATCCAACTTCTGCATATAGCTAATCCAAAATGTTCACATTCTTCATAACCAAAGCTGTGTTATCACCTCTGTTTTGTGAAAAAGACCTCGAGTAACTTTTCCAACATTTTAACTAGAGTGGCAAATGTGGGAGCAGAGTCTATACTAAATGGCTATTAGGCTGCTGGAAAATTTCATGCATGAGACCTGCAAACACATATATCAACTGGACATACGTAATAGGAATTAAGCTTCTTTTCAACACAACTCAGTCCAGGTGGCTTCATATATTACCATTTGCAAATCCAGTCATAACCGACCCTACTTCTCATGACATGAATAGCTTCTCAACAACAGTGATGTAAAGAATATGATTTGATATTAATTACCTTTGTTAGTGAAGATATTCTTTCCACATTCAAGAAGACAGCTGTCACATGGGGCAATTTTTTAATCTTTTCTAAAAGATGGATAACCATTACAAAATACAGTGTTAAATGTCAATTCTCTTCTTAAAAATATACTGAATATAAAACCATTTTGCACTGAGCAGAGAGCTCGTAAAATACCAAACGGCATCAGAACAGTTGTATTTGCACTAATTTAGTACTATGTCAAGAACAGCTGCCAGCTTCACTTATGTCAATCATATAAACAAAGGGATTAAGTCCTCTCACACATTTTCAGTAAGCATGGGTTGGCATCATATTCCTTGTTCACAGAACAGCTGTATTTGCACTAATTTAGTACTATGTCAAGAACAGCTGCCAGCTTCACTTATGTCAATCATATAAACAAAGGGATTAAGTTGTCTAATACATTTTCAGTAAGCATGGGTTATTTCTATTCTGTGTTGCTTTTGTAACCTTAAAAAAATTCTTCGAAGTTTGTTTTCAAAGCTGCATGATGGATAAATAAAGTTCTCTCTCCCTCTCTTCAACTTTCATATCTATCCTTAAACGTTTTAACCTTAAAAATATTCTTCGAAGTTTGTTTTCAAACCTGCATGATGGATAAACAAAGTTCTCTCTCTCTCTTCAACTTTCATATCTATCCTTAAACAGTTCAGCTGCAAAAGTCTTCCATTTAGGATGAATTAGTGCTGAAAAATCTCAGTCCTTACCTGTCAAAGCCTGAAAGTTTCCTTTGCCAAAAACAAGCTTCTTGTCAGGATTTTTTGTAGGGATAATTATTTTATCCAAAACTGTCCAGTTCGGAAGGGTATCTACAAGAGCGACGGCCTCAGCAATTTGTAATTCAGCTTTATCAACAAAACAAAACAAAAACAACACAAAAAAAGGAGAGAGATTATAATATACCAACATAACTTTGCTTGGATTTACAATAGTTATGTAACTACAGTACACACATGAACACAGAAAGACTAAGCTACACCAAAATTCTACTAGTGTATATATTTTAACGGGTAGTGCACGGAGCAAAATGTCCTTTTTTGCTAATCAGAGTAATCAGAAAAATTAAACTTTTAGCTTGATGCAGTTTTATCACACAAAGCATCTTTCTGCCAGTACAAATTACTTCTGTAGTTGTTGATTTAGAATAATTTTTAATTGTATTGTCAGCAAAGAAATTACCAAGCTTTTTGCCTCAACAAGTGAAATGAATAACTAGTTGGAAAATCAATTCTGTTCTTTCAGATGAGCCCAAAACCACATGATTAATTCCTTGGTGTTTTGCGGCAATATTTAAAGCATTACTAATACAACATATCCTGCTGCCAACTTCACTGGTACTTATTCATAAAGGACCTGCACTGATTTATGACTTGCTAAAACCAGCAGATTCCAGGCCTGTATTCTGGTTCATCAGTCACTTTTTTTTTTATTTAAAAAAAGAACATCTGGATGGCGATCACCGATTTCTGAGGACTTTGTGAAATCATGAAGACTATATGGGTATATCAGATCAGTAGATCCAGTTTTGATTTGCCAAGTAAGAGTAAGATCCTCTTTTCATAACAGAATTGTCAAGTGTATCTAGATAGCAAAATGTAATTGATATATTAAATAGGTTACCTTGGTCCAAAAAGGTAATATAATTTTAAAGATAACCATGATCCTCTCTTTCTCCTCATATTGTTAGCATTCCTTGTAAAACGCACAGATTTCTTGTTGTGCCTGTGGTGTTTCAACAATCATTCCAAAACATTTGTTCAGACTTCAGGCTCTTCATCTGGAGGGCCTAAATAAATGGAAAGGGATCACTGCTATTCTTCTGCATGTCTAGACAGAAAGGTGCCTTTGTATTTTTTTTTTTCAGATGTAAAAAGGGAATGCTTATGTAAATTCTGAAAAGGTTACAAATTCCATTCTGCAAAGTGAGAATTTGTTATAATTAGCAGGTTCACTGCGTAATAAACTTGAATACAAGCGGAGTATCACATACAAATTGACACATATATATATATATATAAAAACTAACTTCCAAATCGCTTAATCCTTGCTAATTACACAGTTGTTATAGAAAAGTGTTTGGGGAAACAACATCAAGCCAAGTTCATCCTATAACAAGCATGCATGATTAATATATATGTATTAGCTAGCTACAAGGATTTCTGAGGGAACTCGAAGAACAGCAATGCTAATTTAGGTCCTTATAAAGGAATCATTGGCAACTGCTTCCCTCAGTAGAATCATATAATCATCTAGATTGGAACAGACCTTTCAGATCATAGAGTCCAACCATCAACCTAACACTGCCAAAACCACCACCAAACCATGTCCCTCAGCACCCGTCTTTTAAATAACTTCAGAGATGATGATTTAACCCCTTTCCTGGGCAGCCTGATCCAATGCTTGATAACTCATTTGGTGAAGAGCTTTTTCCTAATATCCAATCTAAACCTCCCCTGGTGCAACTTGAGGCCATTTCTTCTTGTCCCATCACTCATTACTTGGAAGAAGTGACCATACAACCTCCTTTCAGGTAGTTGTAGGAAGCGATAAGATTTCCCTTCAGCCTCCTTTTCTCAAAGCTAAACAACCCCAGTTCCAGACCCCTCACCAGCTTCATTGCTCTTCTCCGGACATGCTCCAGAACCTCAGTGTGTTTCTCGTAGCCGAGAGGCCCCGAACTGGACACAGTACTTGAGGTGGGGCCTCACCAGTGCTGAGTACAGGGGGATGATCACTTCCCTAGTCCTGCTGGCCACATTATTTTTGATACAAGCCAAGACGTTGGCCTTCTTGGCCACCTGGGCATGCTGCCGGCTCATATTCAGCTGGCTGTCGACCAATAAATACCCACAGATCCTTTTTTGTGGGGCAGCTTTCCAGCTGCCCGGCAGAGAAGTAACTACAGAAAAGCACTCCTTTAAGTCCGTGAGAGAACTTCATTACACAAGACCTCATCTTTACCTCACTCCCATGGACAGGAGAGTATTCCTGCTCTTTGGCCAACTTCTGGGTAAGCCCAAGGCTGAAGGGCTCCTGCCTTCCCAGACTGTTGAGTGCTGAAAGCAATTAATATTTGGCTAAATAAGGGGGAAACCAGGCCTTTTCCTTAAGCAACCTGAATGCTCTATGGATCGAGATGTTTTGCTGTCCAAGACCCGACGTTCTCATGATTTACAAGTCAAAGCACTGATCTGCAGTCACTGACAGGGTGTTCTCAGAGAAGAAAACACTGACCTACACCTTATGTTGACTTTTACTGCTAATATTTCACAGTTTTACTGCTGTAACAACAGGTCTACTCCACGCTCCCGGCACCAATCCCCTAGAAGCATTCCTGGCTGGCTGGCGAGCCCCCTGGGGGAGGGGGCTAACCGGCCCGATCCCCCCCACCAGCAGAGCCCCCCCCCGTCCCCACGCACCCGTGGTGAGCGGCGACTTCTTCGGTCCCCACTTGACAGCCGGCTGCACCACGGCCAGGCGCTGCGCCCCGAGCCCCAAGGCCAGCGGAGAGGGGCCCAGCAGCTCCTCCACCTCTTCCTCCTCCACCTCTTCCTCCTCATCATCATCATCCTCCTCCTCTTCTTCTTCACCCCCGCCGGCTCCCGCCACCTCCTTCCACCGACCTCCGCCGCCCGCCCGCGGGGGCTTTCCCCTACCGGGCGGCCGCTGAGGCGCTCGCAGGCCAAGGGCGGCGCTGAGGGGGCGGACAGAGGGCGGCCCGCAGCCGCAGCGCACCGTGCCGAGAGCCGCCGCCGCCCGCCGGCAGCTCAGCAGGAGCGACTGCGAGAGGCGGCCGGGCCCCATCACCATCGCCGCCACCTCCCCTCAAGCGCGGCCGCGGGGAGGGACCGCTCCCGACCGCGTCCTTCCGGCTCTCGCCCCCCGCCGCGGAACGGAAGCCCGGCGGCACCGGCGCCCCGCCCACCCGCCGGCGGTTGGGGGCATGTGACGGCGATCGCCAGCCTCTGATTGGCCGGGCGGCTCCCTGAGGGACGGCCGTGATTGACGGCGGGCCGCAGCCGCGGGCCCGGGCCTGGAGAGCGCCTCCCCGGCGGCAGGGGAGCGGCGGGTCCCGTCCCGCTCCTTTCCCCTCTCCCGCTGCTGCTGCCTGGGCCGCGGCCCGCCGCTCTGCCTCTGCGTGCAAGGGTTCTCCGCCGTGCAGGGCCTGCCCGCCGCCGCCCGTTACGTCTCCTCAGGGCGGTGGTGCCGCCCCTGAGGCAGCCCGCCGGGCGGAGCGGGGGTCGGCCTGAGGGGGCTGGAGGGTCAGGTAAGCCGCCTGGGTGGCCCGGTACCCGTCGTCTGGCCAGGGCATCCGCCAGGTGCAGTGTTCCCATCTCTGAATTCTCCTCTTTCAATTAATCTCTTTCTCTCGAAGGCACATCCCCTTCTGCGGCTTGGTTTTGCAGGGGGGCTTTCTGACTTAATTTTCGGGGAACCGCCTACAATGAACTCTTTTTGGTTTTCTTTTTTTTTTTTTCCCGACAGCTGTTGGCTGCTGTTTCGCCTTGGAGAGCCGAAGCTTCGTTGACTGTTTTGGCGCTGCCCATCCCGTGGAAGTTTCCTCCCGGGCGGTGCCGGTCACGTTTGCGTTCTGCCTGCGCCGCTGAAATGATGTAGCGGAAATGATCGCCGAGCCCAACGCCGCCGGTAGCCCTCCCAGCCAAATGTAAGACCTGCCGCAGATTGTCTGTAAAACTTGGTGGTGAATTCGGGTGCTGCGCCTTGACTTTGTGCCCTGTGGTCTGCAACGTGCCGTTTTGGCACATCGGAGGGAAAAAAAAAAGGGATTTGCTGTGCCCTATGTCTTGTTACTAATGTCTCCGTTTTATTCCCTTTTATGTATTGCTTAGCACCTTCTTGATGTAGTCTTTTATGCTGATTGACAGGGACCTTGGCCTTACAAGCTTTTTTGTGCCTTATTCACTACAGTGCAAATGAATCTACTTTGAAAAAAAATAATGAGCAGATTCATAGTCAACATCTGTGTTCATTTCAGTGGCAAATTTGGGGATGCTGAGGGGGAAGACTGCTAAGTAATTTGTAGTCTCCCCATGTTAGCGATGAGGGGGGCATTACTTCTCTATAGCTGTTTTTGTTGGGGATGCATCAGTTCTTCTGCCTCTCATAATGTGTGTTTTCAATCAGCAGTTGAGGTGATCTATAAACCAGATGTATTTGTATCACTATTTACAGAATGGTATTTGGAAGTAGAAAGAGCAGACGTAAATAAATGATAGATTTAAAACACTTGGGCACGTCTTAATCTGGTTTCAAAGAGTGAAGCTGCTTAGCTGTCTGGCATTGCATGCTTTGGACTTGTTGCAGCCCAACATTTGCTAATCCTGTCACCTTCTGAGCAAGTCTGCTCCAGGTCTTTGGCTTCACTAAGCTCTATGGAAAGCTGGGAGATGTATTCCTCATAGTCCATGATGACAATTAATGTAGCTTCCCATGTATTCTTTCCAGTATGTTTCATCTGAAGCCAGCTTCTTAGTTTCAGAGGTGTCAGGAAGGCACTTGGCAATTGTTTAGCTGAGCATCTTATGTTGCTTCTAAAAGATGAAGCAGTTGTATTGAAATATATAGATATAAAAATTTAAAGGTAGGATTCTACCAGTAACATAAATTAATTCTCCCTTTTACACAGCTAAAGGAATATATTATGTCTTTGTTAAAGAACCAGCTTTCTTTTTAAGTGTGAGTCACTAAATCTGCTCCAAGTATTTATGGAGACGAGAAAGCTGAACTCAGAAATTCTCACAATGATATTGTGTTTGAGGACTAGATGGAGTATTTTGCTTCCTCCCTACTTCAAGTGTTTTTATCTTATCAGTAGTACTCCAAGTGCTAGGGAAAGGGCCATATTGCTGCAGGAATGCGAGGTAAAAATGAGTCTGTGAGCCATGTGTAACAAGTTATAAAGGTGAAAATTAGGATCAGGAAGGAATGGAATTCTGCCTATGCTTTCTTACTGATTGCTGATGGAAACAAAGTAAATGGCTGAGAGCTGTTTCTTACCAGTGCATGAGGCAGTGAATTTAGGTACGCAATAGTGCTGGGTATGGTGTTGACTAATAGAGGGGAACCAAAACCAAAAAAAAATCTGGTTCAAAATTTGTTAAACCTACTGTTGCAGTTCTATAGTTGAAAAGATGTTAAATGCAGTTATGTATAGGGACTGCTGCAGAAGTGATAACTTGTTATCCTCAGCTAGGTGCAGTGGTTCCTGTTTTATTCAAGAAGATAAGAGTGTCTTAATTCTTTTAATAGTTTCTTCAACAGAAACTTAGTTGTGCTAATAAAAAGTCCATTAAAATATCTCATTTAACTTATAAGTGGTTTCATGAGGTTCAGTTTTAGTCTCTGGTCTAGTGCCTGCAAACGTTTAGGTACCTGCCTGATGAATAGCCTTAATGGAAACATCAGTACTTAAAGAAAAAAAGAGGAGAAAAGAGAAACTTGAGTATCCGGATTTAAAAAAAATCTCTGTTTTTAGGTTGTCTGTTCTAGCACAGTGCTTCCTGTGGCATTGCTATATGCTGTGGTGCACTGATAACCAAACAATTCAGAAAATCAATGGCTTTTTAGTATTAGTACTTAGTGCTTAGTTGCATTTGTTTAAGACAGGTGTTTAGCGCATGTGTGAAAGTTACTCCAGCTGCTTTCATTACCGAGATGTTGTTTTACTTGGTGGTGTTACCCCAATGTGAGGAAGCTGTAGATCAAAGGTCTTCTCATTCTTGCAGGTTTTGCTGAGCTCTGGTAGGCACGCTGATTCATATACCAGGCATTCACTTACTTTGTTGCACTCCTTTTGCTACAGGTACGTTTTGCCTGGCATAAAGTGACAAACCAGTAGATACCATCTGTAGTGCCATCCTTCAGGATGTTCCTGGGAAAGAGAGACATGAGTTAAAGCTTCAAAGTGTATTCTAGACAGAGATATTAAAAGCAGTACATGATCAAACAAGTACTTGACTGAACTGTCCTGCAGCAGTTCTGATTTTTTTTTCCCATTATTTAAATGTTTTAATTCAACTTGGACTCAATTGTAGTCCCTGTAATCAAATGCAATGCATTTATTTTCATTGTAGGATGGAGTGACTTGCTAAATAGTACATGCAAACAATTCAGGAACGTTGTGTGTTGAGTGTTATGTTGAGGTATAGTGCAGAAACAGGTAGCACATGTTGCCACGATGTTGGCTGGCATCTCAGTTGCAGCTCTGGTGAAACGGTGCAAGTAAGAACATGTTAGTCCAATCCCATAATGTTGCTTTCTGCTTTGAAATGAGGAGTGAAAGGATTTAATTGCATAGGAGGAGCAGCTCCTTGACAAACATGTTTGGATTCTTTTTGTTTATTTGTGGCCTGTAGAAGAATCTGGGAAGAGCTAACTGGCATCTGAAAAGCAATACATATTGCTATCTCTTGGAGCTTGTTCTTTTCAACTAGGAAGCCTCTGGTAGTGCTTGAGATACTTAATCTGTGTGGCTTGCAGTTACAAATCAAACCAGACATTTGAAAGCTTTTGCAAACTATTGCTTATAGCATGCTGACTCAGTTGGGAACTATACTTCATCCCTTTCTTTTCTATAACATGCAGATGTCCAGACAGCTGATGTAAGAATTGGTTCATCCTGAACTACTGTCTTGGCTTCTGTCTGTGAAACACTGTGGCACGTGTTGAACTTTTCTATGACAAGGTGTTAATTGAATTTAACTTTCATGGGACTTCTCTCTATAGGGAAGTTAAGCATTTGCACGATTTAGAAATTTGATATATTTTAATAGAATTTTATAGTTATATAGATTTTTGTAGGAGTCTTTAGAAGTCTAATTCTACATCATTTATGTTCAAGTGTCCCAATAAATTCAAAAAGTAAACAGAGATGTGTTTAAATGAAAACTGTCTGCTCTCGCTAACAAAATAACATCAGGACCTTGGTCCTGCGGTTGATGCTGTTCAGCCTCAGGATTTGTTTCAGTCAGACATTGCCTCTGCAGAGCAGTCTTGGGAAGAACAGCGACAGTGGTTGTGTGATGTTGATAAACCTAGCTGGAGTCGAGCTGGCTCTGTGTCCATAGCACAGTTAATTCTCCATCTGGGTTAGCCAACACTGGATATTGGAGAGCTGTCTATATCTGACGGTGTAAGACAATCTTTTTTTTCTTTGTAAAGTGGTCACTTGTGATAGTACGCTCTCTTGTTGCATATCACAATAACAAAAGTAACTGTGCGCTCTCATATTTACTTTCTTTTTGTGCCTTCTTGTAGTACAAGTCAACTGGCTTCATGTCCTGGCCGCTGTAGTTTAAAAGGAGGCCATAGCAGCCAGCCACCAGTACTGGACCTGCTGCACAAGTGGGATCCAGCTCGTCTGCTCAAACACGACCTTTGGCAAAGCATATTGTTAGCATTGGGAATGATGAAAAGTGGCATGATTTCATTGCAGATAAATGTATGACTTCAGATCTCCCAGAAGGTGCATCTTTATTTATAAAATTATTCCTCCATTATGCTAGCAATGACTTGCAAATGAAATTTCTTGTGTCTTTTTTTCTTCAGCATGTTTTATAGACAAAGTAAAACAGTTTCTTCTTCTCATTTTAAATTGTAGAGCCATCAAATGTTATTACCTTGTTTTGTTCAGAGCGAATTCACGAAGTGAATGCTTACTTGTGTTACTGGTTCACAGTACAAAGCTCTTAAGTCAACAAAGGCTGCCTTAAGTCAACATCAGCTTTCTGTTTCATTTACTTACTTTCTACTTCCTTGATATCTTTGATAGTTTTGCTGGTTTTCTAATTATCTGTATGTCTTACAGGAAATCTGATAGTTTGAAAGAACCCCCAAATTTCTGTTGTACAG